TTTTTAAGAAAAAAAAAGTTAATATTGTAAAGTCATATGTGCACAATTTGTTGACTCATAATATTTAAGCTCTTATCTTTGCCAAATTTAAATATTTCCTCTATTTAAAAACAATGAGCCAGAAATATGGATTTTTTTTTTTATCTTAAGGTTTTACATTATTTAGGGAAAAGCATAAAAATTCATTCAGAGACCCTGTTTGTCACCACTGTCTGGACTTGTACTGAGAAAATGTTTTAAGGCTTTTTACTGAAAAAATGTAATTAGTTTCTGGGTTCACGACTATAAACATTGAATGTTTACACTGAATTTTATAGTTCAGAAAGTGAGGCAGAAGAAAACAACTGTGCTGAGTCTGTGATGCTGCTTTAGGCTTTTTTCTGTAATAGTTTTACTTTTGATATCTTTGAATGTTTGAACTGAACAGCTGCGACTGTGATTTAATGTTTTAAGAACATAAATATATGAAGGATTATAGTCACTTTTACCATTTGTAAATGTTATCAGAGATGTTAGATTAACACATTTGGCCTCTTTTAATCTCCTTTGTTTGTTTAGGGTTTCTGTTTTAGCAGGAAACACTGTGTGAACAGTCTGACTTTTTCCATGGTTTGAAGTTAAATAAATCCTATTTTCATAACCTTTTGCGCTTCGCTGGCTATCTCTGGAAGGTGGAAAGTAAAGCCATTAATCAACAAAACAAAAAAGAGCACTATGATTATTCTTTTTTTAAAATCAATTCTGTTTGAATTTCAGCTCAGTTTTTGTTAGATAAATTACAATGTAATTTGTGGTGTTTTCCATTTGAAGCTGGATTTAAATTTAGTTTATTACTAGCATTGAGAGAAAAATGACATTTTAAATGATAATCACCTAATCAGAACCTATGCTCCTATATATATATATATATATATATATATATATATACATATATATATATACACACACACACTGCATTCACATGTATGTATACAGATAGATAGATAGATAGATAGATAGATAGATAGATAGATAGATAGATAGATAGATAGATAGATAGATAGATAGATAGATAGATAGATAGATAGATAGATAATATGGGGTTAATCACATTTTCATGCCCCTATCACCTGAAAAGCTGGTGTAATCCTGACAAACATCTTAATTAACAGATCACCTACACGGTTACTCCCAAATGCAAACAGAAATGTTTCCTTTAAGCAAACAGACCGAGCAGGCCTCTACAAGACCAGCGTCAGCTGAGTAAACAACAATAAATCCGGCAGATAAATGATCCAGGAGCAGAAACCGGTGTGGGATGAATGAATGGAGGCGAGTCATGACTACAATGAAGAGGTGGAAGGAAACTGAGGACATCTAGTGGCCACAGGATGAAACAGAGGAGTTAAAGAAGGAAAGATTAAATAAGGAAATCTTTTTTTTAAAGCTAAAAAAAAAATCATCATTAAGTCAGGAAAAGAGCATCAGAAGAAAAGAAAAAATAAATCAGACAAAGGGGAAAAAAGGTTGATTGGGGGGGTTGGTCCTGATCCTTGTGAATGATTCATGATTTTTGTTCTAAAAACTCTCAAAAAAACATATTTTGCTGCCATTCTCTTTATTTCAGACTTCAAAAGCCTGCATGTTATTTGTTAAAGATTTAGCAGCGCTTGAACTTCCCTGTCACCAGTTCTTTGACGTCACTTCCTGGCTAAGCAAGGGCCTGATTGGCCAGGAAGTGACGTCACAGGACGGTCAGGACGGCGACTCCATTTCGAGAAACTCGCCATTGGGAGAATATATCCCCCCAAAAATATTTAAATATTCAACGTTTTAAAAAAACAAACAAACGAAGCTGTACTGTAGATTTTAACTCCTCGAAGAACTTCCCGTTCCCGTAATGTTCCATCCCGTTGTTTGGCAACCGCCATAACGTAAACAGACTGCAGGTCCCTGATTAGACAGGAAGTGACGTCACAGGACGGCGACTCCATTTCGAGAAACTCGCCGTTAGTAGAATTTATTAAAAAAATATTACGTTATTTTAAATGAACAAAGCTTTACTGTAGAATTGAACTCCTCAAAGAAATTCCCGTTAACACTCATTACAAGTAGGGGA